TACTTACAATTTTTTATGGTCGAAATATCATGTTGTGAAATGCAAGATGACAATTAGGAAAAAGTGCTCAATACAGTTCTTCTACAACCTAAGTTCTAGCAGTTTTCAGTCAAACAACAATTAAAAGATAACATGCAAAACCAGTTATCCTATGAACTACTCGTTGGCAATTTACAGTCATTGTAGGGATTTTTGTTATGGAAAGAAAATCTATTTTCAAGTTCACTAGATAAGTTTATAGCAAACTCCAAATGTGATAGCAGGAGCTTTTCAAAATAAAAGGGACAGATAGCACACTTCTGATGGACCCATGTGGCACGCTAGAATTTAGATTATGTAATGAGGAGACTTTTGGAAAGTCACATTGGAGAATCACATATACAAATGAAGCTTATGCATCAAAAAGAAGAATGCAACAAAAAGATGTGCCACCATTCTCGAGATCAATGGACGGCTTCTTTTAGCTAAGACTCTATTCAGAGCACTAGAGAACAGCTTGGGGAAGCTTTACAGGTATTCTTATGTAGGCTTCAATTTGAAGGCGTGTAATCCTATGAAAGACCTGCGTTGTTTTGTTTTTTTTTTTTTTTGGGGGGAATAAGTTTATGAAAGGCCTACATTAAGCGGTCCTGGTCAAACCTTTTTTTTTTTTTTTGGGCCTAGTCATAGGATTTTATCCGACCTATCAAAAGTTGAACTCTGAAGTTTTCAAGGGCAAGATGAAGTCATGTGGAAAATTGAAAATTACACAGCTCTACAACTCAGGTTCCACAAAAAACATGTCCATCAGGGCACGATAATTAAACAAAATGCAGACGAGTAATCAAATGCATACATGTATGCCCTTAATATGCAGAGAGGACAACATATGTATCAAAAAAGTAAATCATCATACAATTTAAAAGCTAGCTATGAAATAGCAGACCAGATTCCGATATGTTAATCAACAATACAGAGAAGAGTCCCCACATATCACTATTGCCTTTCGATTTCGGTATTTGAAGAATTGGTTTGATGAATAATTTGATAAGTTACTCATACAAAGTTCCAAAGTCTTCCTCCCATTATGCCTAACTAGCCTTTATCAGGACTACATGTGTGTGCATATATAATTATATAGATACAAGTATACATATGGAGAGAGAAGTAAACTAACCTCGGGAGAGAGATCATATCCAATGGCATTAGTTCCCACACCCGACAAAAGCAACAGGGGATGATTTCTCGGAGGAGCCTATAATTAAACATTCAATCAAAATTAGTACAATTATAATAATTTTATCCATAAATTACATACTCAAGCACACATTTATTTGTTCAAAATTAGTACAATCACAATATTTTTTCCCATAAATTACACACTCAAGCACACATTTGTGTGTGCATATGTATACATACGTACAAGTATGTGGATCTATGTAAGAGAGAAGTGCGAGAGAGAGAGAACCTGAAGGCAAGGAGTGTATCGCCAGAGGGCGAGCCTCCAATCGGAGCTGGAGCTGGAGCTGGAGCTGGAGATGGAAACGTAATGAAGCTCATCGGCCGTACATATCGAAGGCTTGTTCGGTACCTTCTCGACAACACCTTTAAATCCACTTTCAGAGAAAGCTCTGAACTTCGCCGTCAGCCTCGGCGACAACGGAGGCCGGAAGACGGCGGCGAATCCGCGTGGGAGTGAGAGGTGGGGGTGACGGAAAGTGGACGGCGCAATGTAAAGCACCGAACGAATATCGGACCGAATCAACATTACCATAACTCTTCTCTTCTCTCTACTTTCTCTCTCCTCTCTTTTGATAAAGAATATAGATCGTAGTCCAAGTCGTTGCAGGAATTAAAAGAAATGGGTTTAAAAGAGCTTTCGTGCTGCTTCTACTATCATCCACGTCAACATCTTATGTGAGTCCAACTTTACCGACTCCGACTCAACATCATAGCAATGTAAGAAGAATTGACGAACTTCACTATTTTAACATCTTTGACTCAAATTAAAACCAAAGTATTTAATTTGCATATACTTCATTCAACCTTGGATCTCAATTTAGGTTTAATCTTTGTTTGTTTCCACGTTTCTGTTTTAGATAAAATATATTTTTTATTTTTTCGTGTTCTGCAAATATGATCTTTATATGATTACAAGAATATTGACAAACCTGAACCAACGACAATCAAACTAGCTGCAGATAACAAATATAGACTGTAAAATGAGAGGCAACATAAGGGAATGCCAACAAGCTACCTATACAACAACACAACCACTGCCACTCCAATAAATTCTGCCAAAAAAAGGTTAGCTCAACTTCACTTATCCTCCATTTTCTTTATTGCTGATTCTAAGCAGAGGGATAAAGGACAGTCTAAGTCAGAAGCATGCCAATTTGTCCACAAGTTTTCTTCCTTGACTTTTTTACTTTCTTGACAAACTCAGTGAAGAATATTCGATCATCAGCATGCTAGTTACAATCTTATACTCAACCACAAAAGTGGAAAATAAGGAATAGATGGGAGGAAGAAAAAGAACCAAAGCCAGAGCCAAGGCAGATTACTCACAACTGCTGTAACTGAGGCATCTTGTTACTGGGTGCTGCGCGTCATCCCACTTCGTGCTACATTCCTGCACAAAGAATTCACGTTTTAAATTTAACGAGTTTGAACAAAAGCAGTAAAAATAATAATAAAAGCAGTAATCCATGTAATGGAGTTATATGGATCAGTACACGAGCTTTGAGAATGAATGGAGTCATTTGAATACATTAATTCAGAGAAACTTTATACAAGTAATAACCAACTTAAACGACATCCTGAACTTCGGCACTCGAAATTGCTTCAGCAGCATATTACTATTCCAAGACAAATGTTACACATACCTCAATAAAAATAATAATAATAATAATAAAATAGAAACTCAGAAGAATAAAATGCAAATGACCCTGATTCACCAGCTCAGCCTCAGCCTGTGGGTTGCCATTTGGTGTGCCTCCTATCCAATAAAAACAAACCGCAAATGGATAACCCATCAAGCTGTGTAATGAAAATCGCAAGCAAAAGACTGGCAAAGGCACTTGTGCAAGGCATGTCTCATTTTCCTTGAAAAATATTTTTTGACCATGGCTCTGGATTTAAAGTTTTTGCTTGCAGTCATTGCTCAACAGTCAAGTAAGAAAAAAATTTCTTAAATGGATTTCTCAGCTAATAATATAGATTTTCAACAAACCACACCCAATTAAATACTATTATTCACTACTGATCCCACCTACACAAGGTTGCTAGAGAGCTGAACTGGACACAGATCTAATCTTTGGTTCTATTTTGTACTAAGCGTCAGCTCTCAAAGTCAAACCAGCGTGAGGATGCACAGACACGAAATTTTAAAATAAAAAAAAATAAAAACCAACAACAACAACAACAACAACAAAGACATGTCAACATATCCACAAATTAGCCTGCACCTTTGGGAGTACTCCCACTCCCTTTAGGTCTCTGATTCAAGTCTCACCGAAGGTAAGGACTATGCATGTGGTTTACGGATGATTGCGTGCATATGGAGTTTGCAAACTATCCAAAAGTCCAAAGTGGCTACCAGGTGGGCTGATTCTTTGATACCCAATATATATATATATCCACAAATTCATGCACTTAAAGTGATCTTAGAAATTGCACAACTTAGAAAATGAAGTTCACAAACTTTTTCTAGACTTCTACATAATTATACAATGAATGCTACAAGTACCATTAACTTATTATGATCTTAGCGTGTGAAGAGCATGTGACGCATAATACTCTAATAAGTATGTTGCTCATATTGCATCTAGCTTGTCTTATACATGAATTTTAGTCTTTTTATTGTGTATTTAAAAATGATAACAGCAATATGTCCTTAACATACAAGGATAAGAACATCTCTCCATAAATTAATTGTTTGCATAAACTTGATGGCTGCATTTGGACTTGCATGAACAAGGTGGCATACATTTCCTTGTATATACACACTTACATTTTCCATAGAGAAACTTGTTTTATAAAAAGCCAAAGACATGCACAAGAGATCATCAAATCAAAGTACAGCAAGTATCTATTTTTAAAACCAAAAGTGGAAGAAATTTTCAACATATCGCAATGAAAATAAAAAGGAGCATATTTGATGCAAGTATTAAGGGTCAAGGAAACATAGATATCATGTCAGCAAATTGGAAACCAAAGAGAAACCCCGATGCATGAATTTAAAAATAAAAAAAGAAGGGAGGTGTGGGGTGGAGGACTTAAAACAATAAACAAAATGCATCATTAAAGATGAAAAATGAAATAATAATACCAATAAAGCAAACTTGCAACAAAATTGATATCCTCAAGGGTCAATATAAGACAAATCATTGCAGTACAAGTGATACAGGTACAAGTGTGCATGTATGAACTACTGCTTCTATATAATATATACAGGATAAAAGAAGACAAACCTTCCTATGAGTAGCTGAGAACTGTTCGTGGGACCCTTGGTATTCCCAAATCGTTTGGCCCTGTTTTCATGTTCTTTCTCCACGCGCATCGCAGCTACCTCCTTCTCCATGGCAGCTACTTCCCTTCTCATCTTCTTGGCCTCAACCTCCATTGCCTTTGTCAGAGTATCTACCTTCTTTGCTAACCATCTTAAAAACAAGATTCATAATCAAACATTTAATTTTTTTTTTTTTTTTTTTTGGATAAGTAAAAACATATAATATTTATAATCAAACATCTAAGATTCACAATCAAACATTTAACCAAATAAGCCGAGAAATCAACCTCAATAGCATCATCTTTGTCTTTGAGGCTTTGATCCTTCTCATGACCAGCTTTCCTCAGCGAGATTACCTCTTTTTGTAGAAAGTCATATATTAACGCTGCAACAGTATTCATTGGGTTTATCATCTGGACAACCTTTCCAGGTAGTACTTGCCTCACTGTCCTTTGTTCCCTCACATGGCAGGCCGTCATTGAAATTAGGAGCCACCCCATTTAAGAGAACTTTACCCGTCTAATGAGCGTGTGCCGCCATCAAATGACTTTGACGTCCCTTTCGCATGCTTCAATACTGAATTAGTGCCAGAAGACGGAGAAGATCTCAACTGGAAGGATGGTGATCTCTTAGGTAAAAAGCCATTGGAGGTCAATTTGGAGATGTTATCAGCTCCACCCAGGGATTGGCGACGACCGTTGCTTACATTTCTTCCTTCTAACATACTCCGACCGTTCTTGCTTGATGATCTCAAAGTCTCTTCTAGTACTTTGAGCTGCAGTTGGTATTTTTCCTGGAAGGTGAAACAGAAAAAATATAACATTAAACCAGGCTAGAAGATATCATTAAACAGCTCAGCTATAGAACCAAGTAATTACTTTCAACTGTGCTTCGGATTTTGCAGTTCGCTCAGCTACAGAGAGCTTGTCCCGGAGTTGCTGCATCTCTCCCTGCAACAGCAGGTATTGGTTACATTTACTAACTTCTGAAATAAGAGAACCCAAACCTAAACAGTTTTGGTGAAAAACAAAACAAATTCAAAAGTTTCAAATGAGAATTGATTAGAAACTAGCATATACCTGCAAGAACCTTCTTTCTTCAAGCCATTGTTTTACAGGCATCACTTTATCATTAGCATCTTTCCATTCATTAGCTACCACTACCACAACCCTGTTTGCTGTTACTTTTGCACGAGCCAGCTCCCTCTCAAGAGTTTTTCTTTCCTCCTAAAAATACAAAGAAACAAATACTTCCAACTTTGAGGATCGTCTTATATCTACAAACCATATCAAGTAAAGAACGAATACAGGTAAGAAGAAAACAACTCTTAAGACTTCAAATGTGTAGGGCACATTACATTCATCTCTTGAACTTTCCGCTGGTAATCCCTCACAGCATTTGTAGCAGCACCACCAGCAAGTACTCAAGCTCACGTACAGTTTGGGAAGCTTCTCAACCTCAGCAACCTTTTTATCCAAAATTTTATTTTCTTCCTGATACATGCATATTTTAGATGTACAAGTCCAGGCTAACAAGACACTAACCAGAAACTTATACGGCTAAAGCTTTAATGGTGTTGAAAAGAGAAATTGCAACCATTGTCATAGTACCTGGCAAATTTCTATCCGCTTCATCAACTCTTGGTTCTTATTCTGGAGATCATCAACCATAGAAGCCTTAGACAGGGTAACCTGAACTGTCCTCTCAGCTTCAATTAAAGCAGCCTCTTTTGATTTTGTGAGGCAATCTAATGCTTTGTTGTCATCTTTGACCCATTAATCTCTCTTTATGAATAGAACTATTTTTGAAGACATATTTGGGTTAGGTTAATGAGGACTTCATAAAAGCAACAGATAAAATAGGTTTGAGACTTAGGTACAAATAGTATTATTAATATGATAAAATCTTATTGGACTGATGAATATGTCTATGTGTTATATAGAGGGGAGAGATTTAAAAAGACGTTAAACTGTATTTTTAAAGAATTTATATTCACATATTTATCATTTATCTCAAAATAATCATAGTCTGTATAAGTTGTATAACTGAACTAACTAAAATTGATCTTCAGAATGTGCTAATAAATCATTAAAAAGCGTCATTACCATCTACAACTAATAATAATAATAAATTATATAGAGAGAAAGCTGCAGGCTTGGCCTTTTGGAAATGTTGCTATCCCTTAAAGAGCCCACATATGCAAATGCCACTATGCCAGCAAATGCATTATATATATATATATATATATAGACACACACACACTAGTAAAAGACACGTGCATGATCAAAACTTTTAATAAGATGTCCAGAAAGAGTGCTTTAGAAATTTTGAGACATAAAACTGTAAAGTTTTTTTTGTTACGTGGGTGATTGAAAAAGGACAATACCAGAGAACTTATGGGTTGGGTTCAATCATGATCGTGAATATACCATACCTATAAGAAAAGGAACAAAAAAATTTAACGATGAATTCTTGAATAGTAATTATATTAATCTTTGAGTTGCTTAAAAACCTTCATCAAATTCAAAAATAAAAAAATAAATATAATCATAGTCAAGTAGAATATAAGAAAGAACTAAAATTCTCTTTAAATTGAAACTTCAAGAAATAACGGCAAAAGTAAAATCAATAAATCATAATCAAATAGGATAGGAAAAAAAAAAAAAAAGGGGACAACTTAATCAAAAACCCCAAACTGGACTAACCTAATTTATCAAATTCTACAAGAAAAAAATTAAAGAATTAAGGACAAAGGTAAAATCAATAAAATCATATAATATACATAATAATTGCAATTTCCATTAAGAATTTTCAAACATGCAAAAAAAAAAAAAACTATAAATATCTAACAATAAGGTTTAGTAAATAAGACTAAACAACTTAGAGAAATGTATATTCATACTCAAATAGAATAGAACAATAATTAAAAAAAAAAAAAAAAAAAAAAGAATTTAATATAAAATCCTAAATTGGACAAACCTAATCCATCAAATTCTACAAGAAAAAAAAAAAAAAAAAAAAAAAAAAAGAAATAAGGATGAAGGAAAAATCAATAAAATCTTGCATATACACAATAGTTGTAATTCCCATTAAGAATTTTCAAACATGCAAAAAAAAAACTATAAATAACTAACTATAAGATTTACTAAGTAAAACCAAACAACTTAGAGAAATTGTAAAAAAATTGAAATGCACAAGGATTACTCTAAACTGGACGAACCTAATCCTATCAAATTCTGCAAGGAAAAAAAATCAAAAAATAAGGACAAATGTAAAATCAATAATAATAAAATAATTTTTTTAATAAATTATAAAACATAAAGCATTTTCAAAAATTAATTTTTTAAAAACAGTTTTAAATAGAGTATATATATATATATATAATTTCATAAAAGTGAACAGTCATCACCATTTTTCTATATGCAAATTTGCAATAATTTTCATTTTATACATAATTATTGATGTTATGTTGGGTAACATAGAATTTTTTTTTTTTTTTTTTTTTTTTTCTAGGAGTTTACTTTAAACTAATTTTTATGCAATTCCAATTTTAAAATACCAATTCCATGCTACCCACAAAATTTCCTTTTGTTTTCTTTAGCCTTATCGTTACTTTTTTTCATCAATAAATATTGAAGTAATTTTCGTCATTAAAATCTCAGCGTTCTTACCTCCATGCATGGACAAGAAGATTTGAAATTGATTAAAACTTTGAATAAAACACATTGGTTACCATCTATTGTCAAAGTCATCCTGATTTACATAATAATTAAAATTCCCATTAAAAATTTTCAAACATGCAAAAAAACTGTAAATAACTAACGACAAGATTTATTAAATAAAATGAAATAACTTAGAGAAATGGTAAAAATTATTGACATGCACAATGTCATCCTACTGTTCCTACAGTTTACATAATAACTGTAATTCCCATTAAAAATTTACAAACATAATAAAAAAATTTAAATAACTAATGGTAAGATTTATTAAATAAGATGGAACAACTTAGAGAAATTGTAAAAAAATAGACATACAGAAGGATTCAAACACGAAAAAAACACTGATATTTAGTAAGATTAAAAAAATAGACGTTTTTTTTTGTGGAGATCCACTCTTTCTTCTACCACCCAATGGTGCTCCTGCTTGGCTTTGCTCTTAGCTTCGCCCCCTTCTCTCTTCTAGTTTCAATCAAGAAAAATTGTAAACCATATATGAACGTTTCCACTTGGAAAAGAATTTTAATTAAAAAAGGAAATCTAAAAGGTGAAAAAGGAGTAGAAACTTATTTATAATATATATTTAAAAACAATAAAGGCTACCAGATGGGTTGATTATTTGTTACCCAATATATATATATATATCTCCACAAATTCATGTACCTAAAGTCATCTTAGAAATTGCACAACTTAGAAAATGAAGTTCACAAACTTCTTCTAGACTTCTACATAATTATACAATGAATGCTACAAGTACCATTAACTTATTATGATCTTAACATGTGAAGAGCATGTGACGTATACATGCATTTTAGTCTTTATATAGTGTATTTAAAAATGATAACAGCAATATGTCAACATACAAGGATAATTCTCCATAAATTAATTGTTTGCATAAACTTGATGGCTGCATTTGGACTTGCGTTAACAAGGTGGAATACATTTTCCTTGTATATACACACTTACATTTTCCATAGAGAAACTTGTTTTATAAAAAGCCAAAGACATGCACGAGATCATCAAATCAAAGTACAGCAAGCTTCTGTTTTTAAAACCAAAAGTGGAAGAAATTTTCAACATATGGCAATGAAAATAAAAAGGAGCATATTTGATGCAAGTATTAAGGGTCAAGGAAACATAGATATCATGTCAGCGAATTGGAAACCAAAGAGAAACCCCGATGCATAGATTAAAAAAATAATAATAAAAAATAAAAAATAAAAAGGGAGGGGTGGGGGGGGGGAAGACTTAAAACAATAAACAAATAATACTAATAAAGCAAACTTGCAACAAAATTGATATCCTCAGGGGTCAATATAAGACAAATCATTGCAGTACAAGTGATACAGGTACAAGTATGCATGTATGCACTACTGCTTCTATATAACAGATAGAGGATAAAAGAAGACAAACCTTCCTATGAGTAGCTGAGAAATGTTCGTGCGACCCTTGGTATTCCCAAATCGTTTGGCCCTGTTTTCATGTTCTTTCTACACGCGCATCGCAGCTACCTCCTCCTCCATGGCAGCTACTTCCCTTCTCATCTTCTTGGCCTCAACCTCCATTGCCTTTGTCAAAGTATCCACCTTCTTCGCTAACATCTTAAAAACAAGATTCATAATCAAACATTTATTTATTTATTTATTTTTTGATAAGTCAAAACATTTAATATTTATAATCAAACATTTAACCAAATAAGCCGAGAAATCAACCTCAATAGCATCATCTTCGTCTTTGAGGCATTGATCCTTCTCATGACCAGCTTTCCTCAGAGAGATCACCTCTTTTTGTAGCAAGTCATATATTAACGCTGGAACAATATCTTCTGCATCCACTGTTGAAAATTCATTGGGTTTTTCATCTGGACTACCTTTCCAGGTAGTATTTACCTCACTGTCCTTTGTTCCCTCACATGACAGGCCGTCATTGAAATTAGGAGCCACCCCATTTAAGAGAACTTTACCCCGGTCTAATGAGCGTGTGCCGCCATCAAATGACTTTGACGTCCCTTTCGCATGCTTCAATACTGAATTAGTGCCAGAAGACGGAGAAGATCTCAACTGGAAGGATGGTGATCTCTTAGGTAAAAAGCCACTGGAGGTCAATTTGGAGATGTTATCAGCTCCACCCACGGATTGGCGACGACCGTTGCTTACACTTCTTCCTTCTAACCTACTCCGACCGTTATTGCTTGATGATCTCAAAGTCTCTTCCAGTACTTTGAACTGCAGTTGGTATTTTTCCTGGAAGGTGAAACAGAAAAAATATAACATTAAACCAGGCTAGAAGATATCATTAAACAGCTCAGCTATAGAACCAAATAATTACTTTCAACTGTGCTTCGGATTTCGCAGTTCGCTCAGCTACAGAGAGCTTGTCCCGGAGTTGCTGCATCTCTCCCTGCAACAGCAGGTTTTGGTTACATTCACAAACTTCTGCAATAAGAGAACCCAAACCTAAACAGTTTTGCTGAAAAACAAAATCAATTCAAAAGTTTCAAATGAGAATTGATTAGAAACTAGCATATGCCTGCAAGAACCTTCTTTCTTCAAGCCATTGTTTTACAGGCATCACTTTATCATTAGCATCTTTCCATTCAGTAGCAACCACTACCGCTACCCTGTTTGCTGTTACTTTTGCACGAGCCAGCTCCCTGTCAAGAGTTTTTCTTTCCTCCTAAAAATACAAAGAAACAAATACTTCCAACTTTAAGGATTGTCTTATATCTACAAACCATATCAAGTAAAGGACGAATACAGGTAAGAAGAAAACAACTCTTAAGGCTTCAAATGTGTAGGGCACATTACATTCATCTCTTGAACTTTCCGCTGGTAATCCCTCACAGCATTTGCAGCTGCACCACCAGCAAGTACAGCCTCTTCAAGCTCACGTACAGTTTGGGTAAGCTTCTCAACCTCAGCAACCATTTGGCGATGCATTTTATCCAAAATTTTATTTTCTTCCTGATACATGCATATGTTAGATGTACAAGTCCAGGCTAATAAGACACTAACCAGAAACTTATACGGCTAAAGATTTAATGGTGTTGAAAAGAGAAATTGCAACCATTATCATAGCACCTGGCAAATTTCTATCTGCTTCATCAACTCTTGGTTCTTATTCTGGAGATCATCAACCATAGAAGCCTTAGCCAGGGCAACCTGAACTGTCCTCTCAGCTTCAATTAAAGCAGCCTCTTTTGATTTTGTGAGGTGATCCAATGCTTTGTTGTCATCCTGCAGCTTTGCAATCTGGAGGCAACCAAGACATTAGAGCAATGATAGAATAAATGGTCCTGATCAATTATAAGGAATTTTGTTTAGCTACAAGATCATCGTTATGTCCAAAGACGGGAAAGAAAGAATACCTCTTGCCAATCAAGCTTGAGCGCAGCCTCCAGTGGTGCAAGGATGGCTTCAATTGGAGGCATATCATCATCTTTTTGAGCAGCATGAACCCTTCGAAGAGTGGCTTCCGCTGCAAACTGAGCTGCCATTGAGGCCACCTTCTCATCATTGATTTTCTTAATCTCAAGATTCTGCAAAAAGAAAAGGAAAAAAAAATGATTTTACCACATTAAATAAAGCTCTGTTAAATAATGCAACCTCAGAACCCCCTAAGGAAATTCCAGAAAAAACTGAATGTCATAAACTAAAAGGGAAAATCCCCAGCTGCTTCAGAGGAATTTAAATAAGCATTGAGAAGCAATATAAATTTCATATTGATATAATGTGATATTAATTGTGAAAAGTAATACAAAATAAAAAAGAAATTTGACTATCTATGTAGGTCATAGTTGTAAAAGGCTCAAGGCGCACAAAAGCGCAAAGGTCTCCTGGAGCCTGAGGCGCAAGGCGAGGCGCACGCCCGACTGAAGCAAGGCGCACGTTGAAGAAAAAAAAAAAAAGAACCCACCCAATAAAGATGTAATAATATATATAAAGATGCAAAAGTCAACTAAATCAATTACTTGAATGCAATATTCAACATATTTGACCAATCAATTAAATAATTTGAAAGTTCACTCTAATGAAGTAGTTCAAATTAGGTACAAGATTAAGTTTAAAACTAATTTTTTGTTTTTTAAATTTTCACTTGGAATCCTATTTGACCAATCACTTAAATTGGGAAAATAAAATGTTGAATAAAAAAAAATTGAGATTGAATATTACTCTCCTTCGGCGCTTCGACAACTATGAATGTAGGTCACCTAAATCATACATAAAAAATATTATGCTGCCTCTTGTTAATTTTCCCATGCAGCTACGATTACAAGAGGTTGTGGGATATGTAGGCCACTGAGGTATATTAGAAATTTAGAACTATAAATATACATAAAAGAAGTGGCACTACATTTCAGATAGAAAGAACACCATTGACATCAAAGTGATGGTGCCAAAGCAATTGACAGTAAAGCGCACAGCAATCAAAACTGTAAAATTGCTACCAATAGAAAAATCAGATACTCTATGATGAACAATGCTAATGCTGGTCACAAAAAGGGAGAAGAATGAATGATTGTTTTGCCACACAAGTCTATAAAAAATTATACACAGCAAAAGTTTGTATATAAAGATTTCAGATGCAAAGCTAAACAAAGCAATGAATCTACATAACATGTCAGCAATAGAGCCTACTACCATACTACAGAAGGTGAAAATTGTAAAGGAAACACTTCTTTTTTTTTTTCATAATTAAAGGAAACACATTATGTAACCTGAATCCATACCCAAAAAGATGAGCATTCCATAAGATATCAAAAGAATTATCATTTTTGTAGAATCCAAAGTTAAAAATGTTGAAATTGGTGCAGTTCCTAAAAACTTGAACAAATATACAGGCCAGAAGTATTAACAAATGCTACCTTCCTTTGCCCTTTCCACAGTACAGAAAATTGCTAGGTTTAATTACTCCTAAGGTGCTTCGACATTTCACCATCCCTTGGAGTTTGAGGTTAAGCAAACAAGGGATGCAACGGTGCTGGTAAAGCAGGGAAATTTGTTGAAGCAGCAAAAAAGATCGTGGCAAAACAAACGTAAAGTGAAATACACACATCAATCCTAGGAGTATATTAGGCCAACCTGTGCATAATTTCATATGGAATAAAATTCAGCAAATATGTTTTCAAATGAAGGATCACAAAAAGCAACGTTTACAAAATGATTCAAGTATTACAGTCATTTAAATTAAAGATACCTTATTCAATTTATAGAATAGTTTTGAAAAATAGGTCTGACGCAAGCACAGGTGGATCACGCTTCCTTTGCACCAAATCAAAGGAAATTTTAGCTATTTTTTCCTTCAATTGGGTGTTTTCTTTTTCTAAATCAGACAGGTACACTTGTGCCTTTTTCACCTCACTGTCAACATACTCCTGTCTAGCCATGAGTTGTGCATATGAATTCTCCATTTTGCTGACCTCTGAAGAGGATAGAACATCAGCAAGACGATTCTCTAACCATGATACCTCTAGCCCCATGCCCCGCCAGTCTGCTACTCGGCCTCTGACTTTATTTACAATGCTCTCATCAATATCACCAAGAATTTTCCCATCCAGCACAATTAGGAAGTCTGCCAATGCATCTAGAAACACACGCTGGAATTCTGGATCCTGTACATGGAAGTTTACAAAGGTCTGGGGGTGAAGTTGAAGGATACGTGACAACATTTGTACACTACGGAAGCTGCAGAAAAAAGATTGCCACTTCACAGTATCCCCAGGATTACAGGTTATAGGATTCAAGCATGTTTCAACATCATGTGAACTGTCACTAAGAGTCTGTACATGGATAATGCTCGGCTCTTCAACCTGTACCCGCACCGATTCTACCGATGTCGCTGGCAAAGTCTCCATTGGTTCATGCGATGATGGTCCACCGAAAATTTGAACATTAAGTCTGGGAGCATCTGACATAGCTGCTTGATATTCTGTAGCTACATCACCACCAACGGTAAATTCATTTATCATTGCCCTTGTTTCTGAATCCGGACTGCTAAACCAAAGCTCACCAATCAGATTTGAACCACTGTCTTGGGAAAAATTCAATGCAAAGTCATGGCCTACACCTTGATCTTGAATATTAAAGGTTTCACCATCAATCGGTGCCACATATTCAATCCTTACATTTTCATCAATATTTTCAAGTGTGCTTTTTTCTTGTTCTCTGACCTCTTTTGCATGAGTAATTTCTTTTTCGTGATGGGTCGATGATTGCAATGTTAACAACACTGACACTGCATCAGCCGCATCTGTTGTTCTCTCCATCTCTAATACCTCTGTTTCTCTTTCAACATGATTTTGTTGAGACACTCCACGGGCCTCTGTTTCTGTGACTTCCATAACAGTTCTCTCTTCATCAACAGCTTTGTCCGTGCAAATACCATGTGTTTCTTCAATAGAAAGAAACATGGGTTTGGACCCTTTCCTCACCGATTCCTCCTCCACACTTCCTGAAATTTCTGCATAATTAACTGTTTTTGCCCGCACCTGGAAAAAGTAAATGAAATATTCATTCTGTCAGAAGAGCATACTTTTACAATATACATATATATATATATACACACACATATTTTATTACCCTTAATCCTCTTCTTGCAATAGACTCATTATCACTTGCAAAACTTTCAAATTCTTGCTCCTCCACATTGTCAATATGAACAGCCCGTTTGCGACTACATGGGACATCGCTTTTAGCAAAACGACAAGGCTTCCCACGCACACCACGAGGTACAGGACACTTCAGACTAGCATCATTATTGAACACTTTTACTTCGGTACAAATAACAGGATCACTTAGCACAAATTCTTTAATCCGCATGTGGGTCTCTTCCAAAAAACCCATATAGGATGAAGTTATTTTTCCCACCCGACTCATTGAAGGGATCTCAAATTTCAGTTCTCCGTCCTCCTTAAAGCGGTTCACCAAATTACACAAAGTCTCATCCTCAGTACTTATGGGACTACGAGGAATACCTTGATCAAATCCCAATTGACGTGCAACTCGCATAGGACTATAAGAGGTCACTCGCATTGGCAAATCACCAAATACTGGCAATGGCAACCCAGCTACGATAACAGCAAACATAAGTTGTGTAGGAGTTAGTTGTTCATCCCTTGTCAGTACTTGATATTCTTCAAAGTAAAAAGAAGGTCTCTTAATTCCCTTTCGCTCAGTAGTATAAGGTCGAAAAATGAATTCATTTTCTTGGTCAATGAAATCACCAATGTTTTTATTCATCGAACCCAAATTCATCCATCGCGACGCATGCCCATAGTCAGTAGGATAACCATTTTTATCCGTATCGTTAAGTTCTAAAGGACAAGGCCCATAATTGGGAAATCTCTCAAACAGAAAGACCGATAAAAACATAGAGGACGCAAATGTACTGATATCATATCGACCGACTGAGCGAATACAGTCTGATACAACAGTATCAAGACGATCATACAGAGTACCAAGAAACATTGGAGCCAATGGCAGCGAAATACCACGAGATAGAACTGCAGCCAAGGGAAATACCTCACGTGATAACCCATCCTCTGGACGTCCCTCAAAAATGTACCTATCCAACCAATAAGCAAGAAATCCTGCCAGTTCATACTGTTTGTTATACTCTGGTCCATGAACATTCTGTCGGGATCGACCACTGATGCGAGTTTTTTTCACATTCTCTAAATCCTTATAAAAATAGCGAAACCAACAGGCGTAAGTCAACTTTGGACTCGCAACTTTTGATTGTTTTTTTAGACGAGTTGAGCCCTTAAACCAAGTGCCCTGCTTCATTGCTTCCTTCGCACATTTTTCTAAGTAAGCAGTAATATCTTGATCCTCTTTAGAGCTACCCAAGGTCGCAATGGGTTGAGAGCCACAAATTGGAAGTCGATATAGTACAGCCACGTCTTCTATTGTCGGTGAAAATTCTCCCCAGGGTGTCAAGAAAGTATGATGCACAGAAGACCAGCGAGAAAATAGCACATTCAAACTTACTAGATCTCGCTTAATAGATAAAAAAGAGAATAGTACTATAGCATGCAAAATTTCTGCCTTTGCCAGAGTTGCCAAATGTTTCTTTAAAATGTGGTTACACCAGAGTTCCCAATCCACACTGGTAACCACATGGCTTGCATGGTCAAAAAAAGAGTATGGACAATCACCCCGCTCGATCAATAGACGAGGAATGGAGCTCGGAACAACTTTAACAATGTCCGACTTTTCTTCAGGACCCATTAGAAGAGGATTCTCTGCCACATCAGGATCAAAACAATAGTGTTCAATAGAGTTCCAAAACATATCATGATCCTCCAAATAGGGTGCCCTACGCCATTCTGATTTGGGAGGAACAAGAGGAATGGTTCCATCTTTAAAGGCAAGAACTGTTCTTAACATTGACTTGGTCATCAAAGATTGCAAAACACTGATGATAGGCAAAAAAAAAAAAAAAAAAATTAATATAAATAAATAAAATAAGGAAGTAAAATAGAACTTTCAACACAAAAAGGGGGGACAGAAAATAACATTAGAAGGGCTCACCTGTTTATAAAGAGCAAGGCACTATCCTGGTAGCTGAACTGAAGCACACTTTGGAAACCAATCTATAGCGAAATGAGCAAATTCAAGCCAATATTTATTGCATTCCGCTGCCATTGTCAAATAATGCATGGGGCCAGGGTCGGCCCCGAGATTTCAAATATTTTGAGAAGCCCTAAGCGAACTTTCTAATGTGAGGCCCTTAAGTTTCACACGCGCGCAAAAAAAAAATTATACGAGTTCGGAATTTTCACACGATGTTTTCAAATTCTATAGCTAATATAATTGTGCGCCTGTGCATTGTGCATAACACAATTAACTAATAACTATAAATTTATCACCACCAACAAATAATTGTGCGCCTGTACAGTGTGCATAAGACAACTAACTAATTACTATAAATCTATCACCACCAATAAATAATTGTGCGCCTTTGCATTGTGCTTAAGACAACTAACTAATAACTATAAATTTTTATCACCACCAATAAATAATTGCACACCTGTGTAGTTTGCATAAAACAATTAACTAATAACTATAAATCTATCACCACCAATATATAATTGTGCGCCTATGCAGTGTGCATAAGATAGGTAACTAATAACAATAAATCTATGGCACAAAAAATTTATAAGAATGCGGAATTTTCATTAAAATGAGATGATAAGAACATAAAATACATTAATGTTGAAAACACACAAAAGAAAATCCGGTCTTGGCGCTTTAAAAAGAGCACGATCCAGTTTACATCAAAAAAATATTAAAAGCAAATATTCAACACAACTTAGTCACAAATATCAAAATTCAACTTTATATCAAAGCAAAATAAAACGGATGGAAAATCAAACGGAAAGCATTGTTGTTCATACAATAAATATAATATAAAAAAAAAATCTAAAATCAAGCAGTTTGGTCGAATGAACCATTAATAGAAAAAAAACCATTAACTTTTGTATTGTTAAAGCCTGCTCTTGATTTCCATGTGTTTGTACATTCTGATGGCAAGTGCTTTAAGCCTCTGACAATATTATTAACTGAAATTCTAGCTGAGCCAACTTCAAATAACATCAATAATGGTGGTACGTATCTTCATATAAAAAAATAAATAAATAAATAAAAACCCCTTAATTTGGCACTTTTAAGTATGAGCATAATTTAGAGATCGAAAAAGTTAATTATTACCTCAGATCCTCAACCCACTAGAAGGGCAGGGCCGGCCTTGAGATTCCAAATATTTTGAGAGGCCCGAGGCAAACTTTCAAATGTGAGGCCCTTAAGTTTCACACACGCAAAAAAAAATTATAAGAGTGCGGAATTTTCACACGATGTTTTCAAATTCTATAGCTAATTTAATTGTGCACATGTGCATTGTGCATAAGACAACTAACTAATAATTATAATCTTCATTCATTAAATCTTCATGTTCATTGACCAAATCTTCAACTAAACTCTCTATTTGTGTATTGCCCCTCAAAAACTTAAGATTATCTCCTTTTTGAGATTGAATCAATTATTCTTCTCTCTTCTTCTTTTTTTTTCTTTTTTCATGCCCAGATTCAAATTTTCTTGTAGACATAATGAAATCTCTTGAAATCTAAATAACAGGAACCATAATCAACATAAAACTAGACTTCAAAAAAATAATAATAATAATTTGCTTGGTTTAAAGAAAATATATATTACCTCAATATGCAATGATTTGATTCAAGTTCAAGGCAAATAACCTCACGAGATCCTAAGAAGACTGTCCTGCTAGCATGTGAAAGAAGATCACAATTAACATAAAATGGATGGAGAACATAAAACAGATGGAGAATCAAACAGAAACAATAATAACTAAGCATTGCCGATCATACAATAAATATAATAAAAAATATAGATCTAAAATCCAGCTACTTGGTCGAATGATCTCCTGGCTGGAGTTTTCACTGGAATCTGGAGGAGAGAAGAGAAGACAAAACAGAGTATCCAAAATACAGTCCAAAAGTGGAAATGAGGAACAGAAAACTGCAGCTTCTTTTTTACATTCATTGTTTATATAGCTGCTAAAATTTGATGATTACTGATGACAAAAATATGTGGAGATGAGGGGACTATATATATATAGGAGACTGAACTTGTAGTGTTGAAGAAGTAGTGGGACTTTTAGGTTATATGTGGCATCCACTATCATATATAGTTTTGTCTTTCACTCTTTATATTAACTACACTTTGTGTGTGTTTTTTTTGGGAGCCAATTACCCCTTTCTTGATTTTAGGATGAGGAATCAACTTTAGTAGCAGTGATTGATTGATCATTGCTACAGAAGACCTGTGCAAATTAATAGAAAAAACCATTAACTTTTGTTTTGTTAAAGCCTGCTATTGATTTCCATGTGTTTGTACATTCTGATGGCAAGTGCTTTGACAGTATTATTAACTGAAATTCTAGCTGAGTCAACTTCAAAAAACATCAATAATGGTGGTATGTATCTTCATATAAAAAATTAAAAAAAAAAAAAAAAAAAACCCTTAATTTGGCACTTTTAAGTATGAGCATAATTTAGAGATCGAAAAAGTTAATTATGACCTCAACGGCTCAACCCACTAGAAGGGATCCTTAATTTTCGTAGGATTGAATGTGAAAATGCATAAAATTATGAGGAAAAGGGGTATGATTGCTACTGTTGTGAGATTGGAGTGGAATTAGGGAGAGGAAAAAAAAAAAAAAAAGTCGACTGCCATAGATTATGGACTCGATCGCCATGAAAGACACATGTAGAAAGGCACACATTGATTAAAATACTAAGAGAACCATAATATATTCATTCAGCTTTTGATAGCCATCACACACAGTGACACACACACAAAAAACCCTAGTTTGGAAGCTACTTTTCACTATTGGAACAAAGGTAAAGGCCCGAATCAAACGAACCAAAGTTGGAACAAATCAAATGATGAGATGAACGAAAGAAAGAAACATATATAAAAGATCGATTCATGCAAAAGGAGAAAAAAGAGAGAAAGAGGATGAACATACCTTGTCACCTGAGGCGATAGCGGAGGCTGCGTCTTGCGGAGTATCGAAGCAGTTTGTGTCCTCTGAAACGTGCCCTTACTTAACACTCCGTATATTTTTCCCATCCCCTGTGGGCCTCAAAATTTGGGCCTCAAAATTTGAGGCCCAAAGCGACCAAGACTTGTCCGAACTTAATTTTTTTTTTACATCCTCTATGGTATTTGAGGCCCTCTAAAATTTGAGGCCCAAGGCGACAGCCTTGGTCACCTTGGGCCAGGGCCGGCCCTGTAGAAGGGATGCTTAATTTTCGTAGGATTGAACATGAAAATGCAAAAAATTACGAGGGATAGGGGTATGGTTGCTGCTGTTGCGAGACTAGAGTGGACTTGGGGAGAGGAAACAAAAAAGATCGATTCATGCAAAAGGAGAGAAAGGATGAACATACTTTGTCACGATGTCACTTGAGCTTGAGGCAATAGCGGAGGCGGAGTGTCAAAGCAGATCATATCGTCTGAGAAACTTGCCCTAACTTAAATTTTGACGCCCTCTAAGATTTGAGGCCCAAGCCGACAAAGACTTGCCCTAACTTATTATAGAGTATTTTTTTTTTTTTTTGGGCTAAAATCACAAAAGCTTGTTGTTTACAAAAACTACATATAACTCCCTCAATTATTAAAAAACTCCTGAACTAACATAACTATCACATTGTCCCCATTCCGTTACAAAACCATTAAGTGTCTGCGAAATGACAATAATGCCCTTGATATTATATTAATATTTATTTAAATATAATTATAGTAATTATAATTACTATAATTATTTAATTATATATGAATTATATATACACATATATACACACACACACACATATATATATATATCGAATGCATATCCTCCATTACCTGCAAACGAAGAAATCACCCCCACGAAACTCATCTCACTCTCTCCTCTGAGTCATCTCTCTCTTTCTCTGTGCATTTTAAAGCACTTTGTGGTGTGGTGGCTTTTCGTGTTTGTTCTTAATTGGTAGTTGTTGAACTGCTATATACATAATCTGCGGTAAACAATCTAATTTCCTAATAAATACAAGTTGGAGATATACTTTTATTAGTATATTAATGTTGAATTTCTTTGAAGTTGTTTACCGAGGGTGTTTTCACAAATAAGTCTTCGTTGACCCTCTTCAATTAACGATAAAAAATGGTTTTTTGGGGGTATGAGACAACCCATCATGGATTTGGAAAGTGGGTTTTATCATAATCATGTTAAGGTGAGATGGGTGTGTGTTAATTTTTGTGGAGTTTGATTTTTTTTGGAACAAACCCATTTCGATTTTGCTAATCATATTGTGTGTGTCTTTTTTTTTTTTTTTTGTTGCAGAAAGAGTCTTGGAGGATAGTCTTGACCTTGGCTTATCAGAGTTTGGGTGTCGTGTATAGAGATTTGAGTACATCTCCCATGTATGTGTATAAGAACACATTCGATGAAGACATTGTACACTCAGAGACCAATGAAGATATTTCAATAGATCAGTTAGGGCTTCAAATCATTCATTGGGGACTTCAATAGATAAATTATGGCTTCAAACCATCAATTGGGGGGATTTTTAATCCATTAGATGTCTTCTGTTACTGCTGCTATGGAGGAATCCTCATACCACTTAAACGACAAACAATAAGAAGAAAGGAAGAGAAGAGACCTGAGATCTTGCCACCGTTTACTGTTATGATATCGAGGAATCCTCACACAAAGATAGGAAGAAGATAACAAAACTTAACTAAATGATAGGTTATGTAGCTGAGGAGGTGGGTTAGATAACAAAATATAAGGGTAATTTCGTCATTTCCATATAACAAGGGTAATTTAGTCATTATATTGGGGTATATGGTGCACGTGACTGTCACGTGATAAGAAGACATTAATTTTAGATGGTCAACTAACGGGAAGGGGGTGATATGATATATTTTTAAAAACATTTAGGGGTATTATGATGGTTTCTATACTTGAGGGGGTTAGTAGATAGTTTTTGTAAACAACAGGGGGTCCCTCTAAAATCTGAGGCCTAAGGTGACCGCCTTGGCCGGCTTAGGCAGGGCCAATCCTGCATGGGGATAACTGTAGATTGGGTGCGGCTGTAAAGAGCAGAATCAGATTATGAAGATGATCCTTAGGTTATCAGCAAAGGTTAAAAGAATCAATGATTGAGATACACTAAAGGTACTTTGAGGACAAAAAGATGAAAAACTGTACTTAATCCCCCTCACTATATTCACAGTCCACCACAAAATAATTATATACTATCGTGCGCGCTTGTGTGTGTGTGTATATATATATATATATTTTTCAACATTAATGGAGATTTAATATATAAGAGCATCAATGGAGATGTCTCTCTCTAAAGACTCTAGATGTCCGTATGTGTGTATATATAAAAATTTAATACTTCATTCCCAAAACATTCCTCAAGCTTCAAACAATGAACCAAGCTAGAAATTAATTGCAAAACCCACAAAAGTTGGGAAAAGAATCAAAATAACAAACTGATTCTTCAAAAACAACCTGAATATAAAGTACAAATACAATGTTTACACACACCAATTAAACTGATTCCATTGTTGTTGTTTGGCATTCCCCAAAATTAATAAAATAACATAAAAACAGGGTTGGAGATCGAAAAGTCATCAGTAAGATTTATAGAGTGTTTATCACGATACAGGGTTAGGGTTTGTACTGATAGAGTTAATGTTAGAGGAGCTAAAAGAGAGTTTGGTCTCACAACCGACAAATCCACTCTCATCATACCTTGGAGTGTCTTCACTGCTGTATTGTTGCCGAAATCTGATACCGTCGTCGTCCTTGGAGTGTCTTTACTTGTGACGACCCTAGTTTTTAGGCCAGCGTGTTTTATGATGAACCGTAAGGATGATCCAATAACGGATCCGAATGCGGAAGCGAAAACAGAAAGTAAGACTCTAAGAAGTCAAAGCGACCTTCCATGAGGTCGTGGAACTCAACAAGAACTGATGCGGAAGCAAAAAATCGAAAATATGACAAATAAGTCCCTAGGGGCAAAATAGTCATTTCTGAAAACTGTAGATTCGGGTGCCACCGAGCATACCGCTGGAAGGACAGCGAAAAACTAATCAAGATGGACTCAAGAATTGCATGAATCAGAGTCCGAACGAAGAAGAAACGGCATGACGAAGAAAAACGAGCACTTAAAGCAAAAAGGGTAAACTGGTAATTATCCAGGAAGAACCGGGTGCAACCGAGCACACCGTTGGAAAGACAGCGAATAATTAGTCAAGTTCAAAAAAAAATTCACTTAAATCGGAGTCTGGACGAAGGAGAAAAGCCCAACAGAAGAATTGACGTCGCGGCAGCCCGACGAGGGGCCATGGCGCACACGGCGCCCATATGCAAGCCCACCGGCGCCCAAGGACATGGCTGGTGGCAGCCCTTGGCTGCTGCTACATTTTTTTTTTTCTGCCCAGAACTGAGGCTTGAAACGGAGGTCAAGACAAGTTTTTCTGGAAAAACACAAAGAAGAAACCCCCCCTAAAATCGAGTTTTCTACCCGACATTGCAGAAGGAATCGAAAAAAACTCACTGTGAAATCCCCAAAATGCCCCTAGATCAGAACTGAACAAGAGGGTCATAAAGCTGCTAAATCAAAACTGAAAGCTGAAACTTCACGAGGGATTTCTGGTACCAAGACGACATTTTCTGGAAAAACACGAAGGAGAAACCCCCCCTAAAATCATGTTTTCTATTCAACCATGTCAAAAGAAGAAAATAAAACTGATGTGAAAGGTCCATAATGCCCCTAGATCAGAATATGCAAAAAAAATACGAAATGAATTCACAAGAGGCTCAAAACACAAACGATAAGGTTTTGCCGGGAAACGACCATGCACGCAAACGTAACTTACCTATTTAGATGCGCTACAATGGTCCATGGCTTAAAAATACCACCGATACAAAATCCGACCCCCCAACGGGCAAAAAGGCAAAAATGAAACTTGGAATGAAAACTCGGAATCCAAAAATACAAAACGGGATCAAATGACCGTTTGGCCCTTGGCCACACTTCATACAAGATTAATAAGACCCTATAAAAGAATGAAAATGGAATTCCCACACCCGATGCAACCGTGGTGAAGGAATGACTTGCAATTTTTCAAGATTTTCACAATATTTCATGATGTTAAAAAGTTGCATAAAATACAATATACATGTCATTAGCCTCCGGCCTCATCTCATACATATCAAATACATTGAAAGGAATGTACTTAAGTACACATTACATACATGGAATCAAATATACATATTTTGATATATAAGTCTACAAAATGACATTTCATGCTAACATTTGCATGAAATGGAAACTTGAAAGCTACTCGACATCCAAGGAATGTTAGGATTCACGAACCAAGTCTTTGTACCTGAAATATGCCCCAGTATCGTAGGGGTGAGTAACATAAAGCTACTCGTAGGAGATGAGCATGCATCGACCTAGCATTTTACAAATTTATCACCTTAAGGTGAAACATATTAAAGGGGCTCATGCCACCTAACGTCTATGTCCAAGTGAGACTTGGGGAGCATCCTAAGCTACCTTAGAGTCTAAGTAACAAGAATCATGATATACATATGTGTATGAAACGAATCATGGTTGGGATAATCTAAAGAACACGACAAAAAGAATGCTTGAGCATATATTAACATGAATTGCATTTTCAATACAATTGAACTAGGTCTAGAGTAATCCATACAACATCACAAAAGCATAGTTGAATAGAAGTTAACAAGAATCACATTATCCATGCAATTCAACAACAAAAGAGCATGTTATACAGTGTAACAAGGTTTAAGTTCTCAAAGCCATCAACTTAGAATCTAAAGCACAAAATAACAGTAGTGGTTCATGCCACCTAACGTCTATGTTATAAAAGAATCAATAGGATCAATCCTAAGCTTTATTAGAACGTCAAAACACGATTTTCAATATCGATGCAATTTAACCAACATTGGAACTTCCGATACAACGCATAAAGCATAATTTCGCAAAGTTAACAT